GTTCCCAGCATTCAGTAGTTTATACAGGAGAAGGGGTTACTAGCACCTTGTTCCCAGCATTTAATAATTTATACAGGAGAAGGGGTTACTAGCACCTTGTTCCCAATATTCAGTAATTCATACATAAGGGGTTACTAGCACCTTGTTCCCAGCATTCAGTAATTTATACAGGAGAAGGGGTTACTAGCACCTTGTTCCCAATATTCAGTAATTCATACATAAGGGGTTACTAGCACCTTGTTCCTAGCATTCAGTAATTTATACAGAAGGGGTTACTAGCACCTTGTTCCCACCATTCAGTAATTTATACAGGAGAAGGGGTTACTAGCACCTTGTTCCTAGCATTCAGTAATTTATACAGGAGAAGGGGTTACTAGCACCTTGTTCCCACCATTCAGTAATTTATACAGGAGAAGGGGTTACTAGCACCTTGTTCCCAGCATTCAGTAATTTATACAGGAGAAGGGGTTACTAGCACCTTGGTCCTGGCATTTTAGTCACCTCTTATGAAGGATATTAACCCTTTGAGGGTTTCGGCCGTACTAGTATGGCTTACGACCCAGGGTTTTTGACGTACTAGTACGCCTAAATTCCAGTGCCTTCAAATCTAATGAGAGAAAGCTGGTAGGCCTACATATGAAAGAATGGGTCTGTGGTCAGTGTGCGCAGTATAAAAAAAATCCTGCAGCACACAGTGCGTAATGAGAAAAAAAAACTTTGACCGTGTTTTTGGAATAAAACAGCGACTTTGCACTGTATTTTCGTATGGTGTTTATTGTTGTATTCTAGTTTTCTTGTTCTCATTTTATAGAATGGAAGACATATTACAGAAATTGAGGTGATTTTGACTGGTTTTACAATGAAAAGTACCTTGAAATTGAGTGCAAAGTAGCAGAAATGTTCGATTTTTATCAAAGTTCAAAAGTAAACAAATCATGCCAGGCATCCAATACACATCAACTGGTGAGTCTAATATTCTTTCACAAGAGCGCTGATATTATTTATACCATTTCTACACTAATGCAGTAGTCTGCATAACAGTAAATCTTCTATTTTTTGTAAGAATAAAAATTCAAAGTGGAAAGCCAAAGAAATATAAGAGAGGCCTGGGGATGTGACTAACGAACAGAGAACTTGTTATTTTAGTGCCGGGAATGTCTTCTTTGTTTATTCTGGACCCTATTTGGAAATTGGCATCTTTTGAAATTTGTGTGAAATTGGCAAAATTGCTAAATTCTGACCACTTTATTGGATGGTTGAAATTGGTAAATGGGTGGTTTCTTGCACTCATTCAATAGAAAAAATGGAGTTCTAGCGAAATAGTTATGATTTTTGTCGACTAGTACATTGGAATTGGTCGAAAATAGGGCTCAAAGTGGGCAAAATCGCCGATACTTAAACATCGTCAAGACCGCTAACTTCGCGAGAGCTTAATTCCGTATGTTTTCCATCAAATTTCATACTTTTGGTGTCATTATGATCGGGAAAAGATTCTCTATCTTTTCATAAGAAAAAATAATTTTTTTTTTTTTTTTGAAATTTGGCCGACCTTGAGAACAAGTTTCGGAGTGGGCCTGTCGACCCTCAAAGGGTTAAAAGTTTTATTACTTGAATTGTCATTGTAATTAAATTTCTTCTTTACATATCTGTTGTAAAACTCAGGGTTTATATACTTAGGACAGTCACTGCATTATATTCTCATGACTCCATATATCTTCATTGAGTTTTCATGAACTTAAATATAACTACTCCATAACTAGTGTAGTGTATGTTTTATATTAAGTCTCCCCAGAATACATTGCATAGTTTGAGCTTTGCCATGTAGTATACAGTCGGCTCAAAATGCATTGCATGGCTTTAAGCTTTGCCATGTAATATAGTCAGCTCAAAATGCATTGCATACTAGTGGCTTTCCCTTTGTAGCTGCCAATGTTTTATTACATATAAACTACATTATTTGTGTATTGCATAAAGTGTACAGTAGGGTTATTATTGAAAGAATTAGGGGTAAGACAGAATGCAGGATTGCAGATGAGCAAGGAGGTTTTAGAGTGGGTAGGGGATGTGTAGATCAAGTGTTTACATTGAAGCATATATGTGAACAGTATTTATATAAAGGTAGGGAAGTTTTTATTGTATTTATGGATTTAGAAAGGCATATGATAGAGTGGATAGGGGAGCAATGTGGCAGATGTTGCAAGTATATGGAATAGGTGGTAAGTTACTAAATGCTGTAAAGAGTTTTTATGAGGATAGTGAGGCTCAGGTTAGGGTGTGTAGAAGAGAGGGAGACTACTTCCCAGTAAAAGTAGGGCTTAGACAGGGATGTGTAATGTCACTATGGTTGTTTAATATATTTATAGATGGGGTTGTAAAAGAAGTAAATGCTAGGGTGTTTGGGAGAGAGGTGGGATTAAATTAGGGGGAATCAGATACAAAATGGGAATTGACACAGTTGCTTTTTGCTGATGATACTGTGCTTATGGAAGATTCTAAAGAAAAATTGCAAAGGTTAGTGGATGAATTTGGAAGTGTGTGTAAAGGTAGAAAGTTGAAAGTGAACATAGAAAAGAGTAAGGTGATGAGGGTATCAAATGATTTAGATAAAGAAAATTTGGATATTAAATTGGGGAGGAGGAGTATGGAAGAAGTGAATGTCTTCAGATATTTGGGAGTTGACTTGTCAGTGGATGGATTTATGAAGGATGAGGTTAATCATAGAATTGATGAAGGAAAAAAGGTGAGTAGTGCATTGAGGTATATGTGGAGACAAAAAATTTTGTCTATGGAGGCAAAGAAGGGAATGTATGAAAGTATAGTAGTACCAACACTTATATGGGTGTGAAGCTTGGGTTGTAAATGCTGCAGCAAGGAGGCAGTTGGAGGCAGTGGAGATGTCCTGTCTAAGGGCAATGTGTGGTGTAAATATTATGCAGAAAATTCAGAGTATGGAAATTAGAAGGTGTGGAGTTAATAAAAGTATTAGAGGGCTGAAGAGGGGTTGTTGAGGTGGTTTGGTCATTTAGAGAGAATGGATCAAAGTAGAATGACATGGAGAGCGTATAAATCTGTAGGGGGAGAAAGGTGGGGTAGGGGGTTGTCCTCGAAAAGTTTGGAGGGAGGGGGGTAAAGAAGGATTTGTGGGCGAGGGGCTTGGACTTCCAGCAAGCGTGTGTGATCGTGTTAGATAGGAGTGAATGGAGACGAATGGTGTTTGGGACCTGACGAGCTGTTGGAGTGTGAGCAGGGTAATATTTAGTGAAGGGATTCAGGGAAACCGGGTATTTTTATATAGTCGGACTTGAGTCCTGGAAATGGGAAGTACAGTGCCTGCAATTTAAAAGAAGGGTTCGGGATATTAGCAGTTTGGAGGGATATGTTGTGTATCTTTATACGTATATACTTCTAAACAGTTGTATTCTGAGCACCTCTGCAAAAACAGTGATTATGTGTGAGTGAGGTGATGATGAAAGTATTTTCTTTTTGGGGATTTTCTTTCTTTTTGGGTCACCCTGCCTCGGTGGGTCACCCTGCCTCGGTGGGTCACCCTGCCTCGGTGGGTCATCCTGCCTCTGTGGGTCATCCTGCCTCGGTGGGTCACCCTGCCTCGGTGGGTCACCCTGCCTCGGTGGGTCACCCTGCCTCGGTGGGTCACCCTGCCTCGGTGGGTCACCCTGCCTCGGTGGGAGACGGCCGACTCGTTAAAAAAAAAAAAATACATTATTTGTGTATTGCATAAAGAAACAAAAATTTGTATTTGTAAACCCCCCTCTATGTAATGCAATGTTTTGCAAATAAAGTTGGAAAGAGACTTCCAAAATTGAATAACACTTGAGAAGATCCTCATAGTACGTGTTATTCAGTTTTGGATGAACTCTTTTAAGTGCATGTGCAAAAAAAAAAAAAAATGTACAGTGTAATAAAAATAATAATGAAAATATATAATATCTTTATTTACTACAAGTACACATGTACAGTGTACAAGGTATACAGACCATAACTGACATTAGTAACATACTACTATATAGAAAGCCGCTTGTTATGCTGAGCATTTCGGGCATATTAGGTCAGTTTTGCCCCAGGATGCGACCCACACTAGTTCACTAACACCCAGGTACCTATTTTACTGATGGGTGAACATAGACAACAGTGTAAAGAAACATGCCCAGTGTTTCTACCCTCACTGGGAATTGAATCCAGACCCTCACCTTTATTAGAGAGCTTACATATAATAATCTACAATTAATACTAAGTTGTGGGAAATAAATCTTTATTACTGCTGTTCATTTTAGGTTTTTAATATTTTTGTATCTATAATGGGTAAAAAAATGCTTATGTTGATGAATAAAAACAAAAAGACACTTTAGATAGCAAGAATGTTTTATTGTTATACATCATGCACCAGGTGGTAATTATCATGCATATATTTTTGTGTTGTTGATTATCATGCGTGTTTCATTTTGTGTTGATTATCATGCATGTTTCTTTTTGTGTTGTTGATTATCATTCATATTTCTTTTGTGTTGATTATCATTCATATTTGTTTTTTGTTGATTATCATGCATGTTTCTTTTTGTGTTGTTGATTATCATTCATATTTCTTTTTTGTTGATTATCATTCATGTTTGTTTTTGTGTTGTTGATTATCATTCATATTTGTTTTTTGTTGATTATCATTCATATTTGTTTTTTGTTGATTATCATTCATATTTGTTTTTTGTTGATTATCATTCATATTTCTTTTTTGTTGATTATCATGCATGTTTCTTTTTGTGTTGTTGATTATCATTCATATTTCTTTTTTGTTGATTATCATTCATGTTTGTTTTTTCTTGATTATCATTCATATTTCTTTTTTGTTGATTATCATTCATATTTCTTTTTTGTTGATTATCATTCATATTTCTTTTTTGTTGATTATCATTCATATTTCTTTTTTGTTGATTATCATTCATGTTTTTGTGCTGTTGATTAACAAACATATTATTTTTATCATACAGGTGAATTTCCCTCTATGTACGATCGCACACACTCCTCGTCTGCCGGAACACTGTATTGAGTACGTCCGCATTCTTCTCTGGCCCAAAGAAAATCCATTCAACGAAGACTTGCCTATCGATGGTGATGACCCACAGCACATTAATTGGATTTTTGAGAAGGCCCAGAAGAGAGCGGCCGAGTACGGTGAGTCATGCTCGCTCGGTGTTTGTTATGACCTTGTTTGTTCCAGTACAGGTAGTTCTTTTGCATGTGTGTTAGTTACAGATGGGCCCCAATTATACAGCAGGTTAAGTTCTGGGCTACTGCTGCACAGCAAAAATTGTTGTAAGGTGAATCATAGCCTTTTTTCACTTCTAAAAGTATATAAAAGCCTGATAACATGTTTACACTATCATTTATTAAGTGAGCAATAGAGCTAGGCCTAAAAAATACATATACAGTGGACCCTCACCTAACGATATTAATTGGTACCCAAGAACGAATATTGTTAGGCAAGTTTTTTAGCGTTAGCCGAGGCAAAATGTTAGTGTTAAAATGTATCGTTAGGCGAATTTAACATTATGCGATGCGTTCGTTAGGTGAGGGTCCACTGTACAGTATATATTTTCATCCTTCACTTATAGTGAGTGGTATACCTAAAGAGGGTTTCGGGGGTCAATGCCCCCGTGGCCTGGTCTGTGAATAAATGAAGAATGGGTATAATTGAAAATCTCCGTATTAGTGATGTGCTGTAAAATGAAGCACTGATCACGGGTTCTAACCCCACCTGTGGTATGGTTTGCCTGCCTTTTTTTAGTTACCAATTATCAAAGGCACTTGTGTAACTACTGACTGTCAAAGACAGTTGTGTAAGTACTGATTGTCAAAGACAGGTTGTGTTAATACTGATTGTCAAAGACAGGTTGTGTTACTACTGATTGTCAAAGACAGTTGTTTAAGTACTGATTGTCAAAGACAGTTGTGTAAGTACTAATTGTCAAAGACATTTGTGTCAGTACTAATTGTCAAAGACAGTTGTGTCAGTACTAATTGTCAAAGACAGTTGTGTCAGTACTAATTGTCAAAGACAGTTGTGTCAGTACTAATTGTCAAAGACAGTTGTGTCAGTACTAATTGTCAAAGACAGTTGTGTCAGTAATAATTGTCAAAGACAGTTGTGTCAGTACTAATTGTCAAAGACAGTTGTGTCAGTACTAATTGTCAAAGACAGTTGTGTCAGTACTAATTGTCAAAGACAGTTGTGTCAGTACTAATTGTCAAAGACAGTTGTGTAAGTACTAATTGTCAAAGACAGTTGTGTCAGTACTAATTGTCAAAGACAGTTGTGTCAGTACTAATTGTCAAAGACAGTTGTGTCAGTACTAATTGTCAAAGACAGTTGTGTCAGTACTAATTGTCAAAGACAGTTGTGTAAGTACTAATTGTCAAAGACAGTTGTGTCAGTACTAATTGTCAAAGACAGTTGTGTAAGTACTAATTGTCAAAGACAGTTGTGTAAGTACTAATTGTCAAAGACAGTTGTGTCAGTACTAATTGTCAAAGACAGTTGTGTCAGTACTAATTGTCAAAGACAGTTGTGCAAGTACTAGAAAAGACAGTTGTGTAAGTACTAATTGTCAAAGGCACTTGTCAGTAGGCACTGGGCCTGTTTTGTATGTGTGTGTACATGTGTACTCACTGATTTCTGTTTGTGGTGGTTGACATTTGGCTCCTGGCCCCTACCTTGACATCACTAATGTCTAGCTTCTTGGGTCTCATCATGTCTACTAATGAAGCTGTGTTTTGTATATACCTCCACCACTGCCTCATACACGTCATACCACATTTCAACCAGACTTGCACTAAAGAAATACTTCCTGACATCCCTGTGGTTTACCTGTGTCTTGGTCAATTTTGTCATATCTATCTTTACTATTATGTCTGTTTTGCATATCTTGTCTATTTTATTTATCTTGTTTGTTTTGACTATCATGGATACCTGTTTTGTCTATCTTATCGGTCCTTTGTATTTTGTCTGTCTTATTATTTCCCACAGTATTTTGTATGTTGTGATCATATCTCATCTGTGATCCACCAGGGACTCTCAGAAGGAAAGGGAGGGGGGGGGGGGATTGCCTTGCTACTGATGAAGGGCTCTTAATGCAAGGAATTGGAGCTCTCCTCCCTCCCTGGGAGTAAACCTGATTACCTCTCATTCCCATTTACTGGTTTAGTGCTTCCCCTTGATTATAATGATAGTGTGGTTCATTCCTCGTAGTGTCAGCACCAGTTTTGCTCAAGTATTGCAGTCACACAGGCTGTAATTTTTTTTGTAACCCCTCTACTATAAATTTTATTAATTATAAAATTTTTGCTACCCTCTTTTTTGTATTAATGTACAGTAGGACCCCCGTATCCATGGGGGATATGTTCCAAGGACCTGCCGTGGATACCAAAACCACAGATGAAAATGAAAATGTTGATTTTTCTTGCAGAGCTTACAATGTGTGGTTTACATATTATAAAATATTAATTAGCAAACCCTGTAAGTCCTATACATATCTATTGTAAAGTTTAATTGATAAATTATGTACAATAAGTGGAAAATTATTACTTTTTCAATGATGGGAAGCACTTCATGACTTCTCTTAGGCTTTGAAGAATTGACATTATTATTATTATAATCATGGGGGAGTGCTAAACCCATAGGATTATACAGCTCCTGGGGGGGGAGGGATATTGGAAGGTATTCAGACTTAATTCAGGGAATTGGAGCACAGATCCAATTCCCTAGATCAAGAGCCCCTCACCAGCAACAAGGAACCTCCCTTAAGGGGCAAAGAACTGACAGCTTCTCTACTTTTACACTTTGGGACCATTATTTTGCAAAATTAAGAGGTATTTTTGGGCCACAGTAAACAGTGGATAGCTGAAACCACGGATACCAAATCAGTATATATGAGGGTTCTACAGGCCCGGTGGCCTGGTGGCTAAAGCTCCCGCTTCACACACGGAGGGCCCGGGTTCGATTCCCGGCGGGTGGAAACATTTCGACACGTTTCCTTACACCTGTTGTCCTGTTCACCTAGCAGCAAATAGGTACCTGGGTGTTAGTCGACTGGTGTGGGTCGCATCCTGGGGGACAAGATTAAGGACCCCAATGGAAATAAGTTAGACAGTCCTCGATGACGCACTGACTTTCTTGGGTTATCCTGGGTGGCTAACCCCCCGGGGTTAAAAATCCGAACGAAATCTTATCTTATCTTATCTTAAAACTGACCACTCCATAACCTGTGTGTAAGCATTAGGATTAGTCTGCGTGAAACGTTCAGGCATGTTAGTAGCTTTCCTTGTGCTTAATGAGATTTTCCTGTATGTAACTACACCTTGCAAAGAAATAAATTTTTGAATTTTAATTTAATTACCAGAGTTATTGTCAGACGACCTAATAATGCCAGTAATTAAATTTTTCAGGTATTAGTGGTGTAACGTACCGTCTTACACAAGGTGTAGTGAAGCGCATCATACCGGCTGTGGCGTCTACAAATGCTGTCATTGCCGCAGCCTGCGCTACCGAAGTGTTCAAGCTGGCTACATCAGCATGCATACCTATGAACAACTACTCCGTGTTCAATGACACAGACGGCATATACACATACACATACGAACAAGAGAAAAAGGTTAGAAAGGATTATTTTGTAATCTTTTATCTAGACAAACTATAATGCATATATGAACAAGATAAAATGGTCACCATGGATTACATTCAAATTCAAATTTTTATTTCTTTGTATAGCATACAAACTGTGGTTAACATGTAAGAAATTATTGGCACACACAAAGAAAGCCAATATCATGCATGCATTTTGGAAAAACTAATCCTAATGCTTATAGACTACTTAAAACTAGACATAAGTTATGGGGTGGTAAATTTGAATTGAGTGTTATTACAAAAAAAGAGCTTGTAAAAAATTAGAAAAATTTATAGTGGAGAAGTAGCAAAAAAAGAAAAATATAATTAGTACAATTTACATTAGTACAATTTTAGGTGTGTATTAATACTTTAAACTGATTTAGTGATATTGGGTTAATTGGATTCCTTAAGTATAATCTATAATTTCTATAATTCTATAATTTCAGGCTGTGGAAAGATTATATAAGAAATGGTGAAAAAATGGAAGTAGTTGGATGAGTTGGTGTTTTGTGGTATAACAAAGTGTTGGTAGAGGTACATCTGGGGGATGAGGTGATTTTTAATTATAGCCCTAAATTGATGGGCAGACAGAAGACCTTCTGCTGGTTTGGGCAGTGAGTTCGAGATCTTGGAGCTCTTTATATACATTGCATTTTTTGCATGGGGTGAAGTGGATACGAGGGATGTGCCTTGTGTTGTGCCTGTGTGTTCTCTTGCAGCTGTCAAGGAAAAGTTTGAGAGGAGGGTTTATATTGGAGTTTAATGTTCTATATGGTAGGCACAGTAATATGAATGCATATTAAGTTCAAAGGGAGCAAGGGGCTAGTAACCTCTTCTCCTGTATATATTACTAAATGTAAAAGGAGAAGGGAGCAAGGGGCTAGTAACCCCTTCTCCCATATAAATTACTAAATTTAAAAGAGAAACTTTTGTTTTTCTTTTTGGGCTACCCTGCCTTGGTGGGATATGGCCGGTGTGTTGAAAGAAAGAAAGAAGTAAAAGGAGAAACTTGCGTTTTTCCTTTTGGGCCACCCCACCTCGGTGCGCCACCCCACCTCGGTGGGCCACCCCACCTCGGTGGGCCACCCCGCCTCGGTGGGATACAGCCGGTGTGTTGAAAGAAGAAGATTAAGTTTAAACTCTTCAAGAATGGAGGGGTGTGTTGTTTAGCACAGGAATTGGCGATCATCCACACAACAGCTTTTTTGGAAGAGACAAGAGTCATGAGGCCAAAGAGCAAAGATGTCATCTACATAGTGGAGCCAGAGTGAAGGTCACCCTTCCAACAGCATTTTTGTTGGGTTATTAATGGTTTAAGGTGATTAGTCATAGTAGAACCCCAAGTACCATAGGTGAGGTAGGGGTAGATTAGAGAGTGGTATAGCATAAGTAGTGCCTTTTGAGGTACACAGTATTGTATCATGGAAAGGATACCTACTGTTTTGGAGACCTTGGCTATATGTTGGATGTGGGTCTGGAATTTCAGGTTGCAGTCAAGGTGAAGACCTAAAAATTTGCCCTCAGTGTGTCTTGTAATGGGAGAACCATTGATCAGTATGCTAAGTTGGATATTTAAAGCTCTGTTTCCAAGCAGTATGTAGTAGGTTTTGTATATATTGAGAGTAAGTTTGTTGGTCGTCATCTGCATAGATATTTTTAGTAGCTTGTCGTTAATAGTGTCAGTAAACATAGCCAGATTTCAATGGGAGAAGACATAACAACTTCATCACATTTTTATAAATACACTTTTAAAACACACCAACTGTTTCCCACTGAGGTTGGGTGACCTCAGAAAAAGATGAAGCACATTTGCTATCATTCGTTCAGTCGCTCTTTTGCCGGAAGTGCGCTGACCTCACATTTCAGATGGCCTTCTGAAATGCATCTTATTTTGTACTTCCAAGAAATGCGACAACACCAACACAAGTTGCTGAACCAGCTTTTAGTGGGACAATGTTATGGCTCTGTTAAGAGCTTTATTAAGTTATGTTTCACAGTGTTGAACTTTATCAAGCCATGTTTCACTGTATAGAGCTTAATTAAGCTATGTTTTGCTTTGTGTAAAGCTGTATGAAACCTTGTTTCAAGATGAAGAGTTTTATCAAGGCATGTCTCACTCTATAGAGTTAAATCAACCCATGTTTCACAGTATAGAGCCTTATAAAGATATGGCAATGAAGCTTTTCACAGAAGAACTTTATCTCAATAAAGCCATGTTCTTCAACATGTGTATCTGTCTTCAGTTAAATTTATACCAATTTTTAAAATAAATCAAAAGACCTCATGCATCAAAAAATATAACATGGATGTATTTGGGGAATGAAAAACAGCACGAGTGTGGGAGATTAGCGAAGAAATCAAGTTGAGAAAATATAAATATATACATGTATATTAAGATTACTCCATTGGGAAGTGGAGAAGAATCCTTCCTCAGTAAGCCATGTGTGTCGTAAGAGACAACTATAATGCCGGGAGCAAAGGGCTAGTAACCCCTTCGCCTATATAAATTACTAAACGTAAAAAAAGAAGACTTTTATATTTTCTTCCCATCTGGGTCACTCTGCCTCAGTGAGAGACTGCTGCTTTGTTAAAAATATTAAGATTGATATACGATTTCGTGAGTCATGTTATATCTATTCCCTGGAGGAATACATGACAGAAAAATGTCTAAGAAACCTTAGAAATCCCTTCTGGAGGGATTAATTGTGGTTCATAGGCCTCCCTGTTTTCATTCTATGATACCCATTGTTTTTATCCATCAGGACCAGGTTAAAGCCCTTCAGTGTTCCATCAAAGAAATACTGTGAGGCTTTAGATGGGAATTTAATATGTTATAGATTGGTTCTATTCTAAGGCCTTTTTTTACTCATGACTCTTGCCATAACTTTCTCACTTTTTGTCTCTTGAACTTCTGATAGTGAGTGCAAACGGTCTATTCCTGCTAACGACATGCTTGGCTTACGGAAGAAGGATTCTTTTCCACTTCCCCATGGAGAATATTATTATTTTTTTTTTTCAACAAACCAGCCATATCCTACCAAGGCAGGGTGACCTAATAGGAAAAGCGAAAGTTTCTCTTTTTAAATTTAGTAATGTATACAGGAGAAGGGGTTACTAGCCCCTTGCTCCTGGCATTTTAGTTACCTCTTATGACATGCATGCCTTACAGAGAAAGGACTCTTTTCCACTTCCCCATGGAGAATATTATTATTATTATTATTATTATTATTATTATTATTATTATTATTATTATATTATTATTATTATTATTTTTCTTAAGTTATTATGCACATGTGAGTCAATCATGACAAAAAAGTAGCAATTTTTCAGCTATGCGTTGTTCATCTTTTTGCCAAATTGAAAAAGATCGCTGTAATATAGGTTGCTGAATTACCAAACACCAGATCATTGATGTGAATCTGGGCTGTATGACCCTGGTGGGTTTAGTACTTGGTTTTGATTATAATAATGATACGAATCTGTAAAATTATCTTTTGTGAGCTTTTTGATGCAGTGTTGAGCTTACTACTTGCCAGGACCACAGCTTTGAGTCTCTGAGGTGTCCTGTAGCTTGATTGGTAGTACACTCAGCTCACACACTGAGGTCCGGAAATTGAATCCCTGGTATGGCTGGAAAGCATTAGGGACATGTTTCCTTAAGATACCTGCTGTCCATGTTCACCCATCAGTAAAATGGGTGCCTGGGTCTTAGTTGACTGATGTGGATCGTATCCTGGGACTAAACTGACTTAATTGCCTGAAATGCTCAGCATAACAAAAGGATTTTGATGTCAGCTAGGCCTATATACCTTGTACAGTGGACCCTTGACCAACAATATTAATCCATTCCAGAGAGCTTATCTTTGGACGAATTTATTGGTAGTCAAATTAATTATCCCCATAAGAAATAATGTAAATCCAATTAATCCGTTCCAGACACCCAAAAGTATGATTTTTTTTTTCACATGAAATATACATTTTTCTACACAGAAAAAGGATACATGCACAATAAATACTGTACTAAATGAAGAATAAATGACACTAACCTTTATTGAAGATGTAGTGTTGAGGGTTGAGATGGGAGGAGGGGAGATGGAGGTGTTTTATTGTTTGGAAGGGGATCCCCTTCCATAAGGACTTTAGGTACCAATTCCTTTTCCGGGGTTACTTTCCTTCTTGTTTTAATGCCACTGGGAACAACTTAAGAGTCACTGGACCTCTGTCACACCAAAAATCTGTCCATAGAGCTCTTTACCTCGCGTTCCTTTAAGATTTTCCTAAAATGGGTCGCAACATTGTCATTGTAAAAGTCACCAGCATGGCTTGCAATAGCTGTGTCAGGGTGATTTTTCATCCATAAAGGTTTGCAGCTTTGTCCACATTGTACAAATTTCCTTAATCGTTGAAGAAGGCAACTTCCTCAATTTCTCTCTCCCCTCTTCTGAAGCAGTTTCCTCAGGTGCGGCCTCTTGCTGTTGCAGATGCTCTTGCAGCTCATCAATGGTTAGTTCTTCATTGTCGTCCTCCACCAACTCTTCCACATCCTTCTCATTAGCCTCCAACCCCAAGGACTTCCCCAATGCCACAATAGATTCCACAACTGGCATAGGCTTCTCAGGGTTAGCCCCAAACCCTTCAAAATCCCTCTCTTATACACATGCTGGCCACAGTTTCCTCCAAGCAGAGTTCAAGGTCCTGTTAGTCACTCCCTCCCAAGCCTTACCTATAAGATTTACACAATTGAGGATACTAAAGTGATCTTTCCAAAACTCTCTTAGGGTCAATCAAGTGTCTGAGGCCACTCAAAGCACTTTTGAAACACTGCTTTGATGTACAGTTTTTTGAAATTGAAATGACCTGCTGGTCCATGGGCTGGAGGAGAGGAGTGGTATTAGGAGACAAGAATTTCACTTTGATAAAACTTAACTCCCCTGAAATTCGCTCTGGCAACTCTGACAGAGTTTTTTTATTATTATTATCACACTGGCTGATTCCCACCAAGGCAGGGTGGCCCGAAAAAGAAAAACTTTCACCATCATTCACTCCATCACTGTCTTGCCAGAAGGGTACTGTAGTGTAAAGCACCCTTCTGGCAAGACAGTGATGGAGTGAATGATGGTGAAAGTTTTTCTTTTTCGGGCCACCCTGCCTTGGTGGGAATCAGCCAGTGTGATAATAATAATAAAAAAACTCTAACGGATGACCAGGAGCATTGTCTAATACTAGGAGGCACTTCAGGTCCAATTTATTTTCCAAGAGGTAATTTTTCACAGTGGGGGCAAACACATGATGAAACCAAACATAGAAAATGTCCCTAGTGACCCATGCCTTACTGTTTGCTCTCCACATCACACACAAATTAGTCTTGATGACATCGTTTTTCTTGAACACACTGGAGTTTCAGAGTGATACATGAGTAGAAGCTTCACTTTGCAATCCCCACTAGCATTACTACACAACATTAAAGTTAGCCTGTCTTTCATAGGCTTGTGTCCTGGCAGTGCTTTTTCCTCCTGTGTAATGTAGGTCCTGTTTGACATTTTCTTCCAAAACAGGCCTGTTTCATCACAGTTAAACACTTGTTGGGGTTTAAATCCTTCAGCCTCTATGTACCCCTGGAATTCCTGCACATATTTTTCAGCCACTTTTTGGTCAGAACTGGCAGCCTCACCATGCCTTATCACACTGTGTATACCACTACAATTCTTAAATCTCTCGAATCAACCTTTGCTGGCCTTAAATTCACTCACATCACCACTAGTTGCAGGCATTTTTTTAATTAAATTGTCACACAACTGCCTTGCCTTTTCACATATGATTGATTGAGAGATACTATCTCCTGACATCTGTTTTTCGTTTATCCACAACAACAGTCTCTCAACATCTTTGAGTACTTGCAACCTCTGTTTCGAAAACATACTTGCACCTTTCACAACAACAGCTTCCTTGATTGCCTTTCTGTTGGCCAAGATAGTAGCGATGCTTGATTGGGGTTTGTTATACAGCCTGGCCAGCTCGGAGACACGGACACCACTTTCATACTTTGTAATTATCTCCTTCTTTATTTCAATTGTAATTCTCACCCTTTTTACCACAGGTTTGGCACTAGAAGCTTTCTTTGGGCCCATGGTGGCTTATTTAGCAGTTACAAGCACTAAAAACACTGGAATAATGCAAAATGTACTGAATGTATGCGTGGAAGCAACCGCACTGGCTTGTAAACACTGGCACACTAACTGAAGGCAGGGCCGCTAAGGCACGATCAGGCCAGACGGACACGTGGACGTGTTCAGAACAAATGTTGTTAGTCGAGTTTTTCATCGTTGGTCGGGCCAAAATTTTTACGCTCAAATGCTTCTTTAGGTGATTTTTTCGTTAGGTGATGCCTTCGTTGGTCGGGGGTCCACTCTACATGTACTTGTAGAAGTAAAGATAATTATATTATTATTATTGTCCATTCTTCTGTGTGTGTACCGAGAGTCATGTGTAATGATTTACCATCAGTTTATTGTTTCATCCGCTACAGGTAGACTGTGTGGCTTGCAGTCAAGTTCCTCAAGAACTTGAAGTTCAGTCAACTGAGAAGTTGCAAGACATTATAAAGAGATTGACTGAGTCACTCCAGTACCAGGTAAGACTCATCTAGTCACTCCAGCACCAGGTAAGACTTGCTGAGTCACTCCAGTACCAGATAAAACTCACCTTGCAACTCCAGTACAAGGTAAGACTTGCCTAGTCACTCCAGTACTAGGTAAGACTCGTCTAGTCACTCCAGTACCAGGTAAGACTTGCCTAGTCACTCCAGTACCAGGTAAGACTCGCCTAGTTAGTCCAGTACCACATAAGACTTGCCTGGTCATTCCTGTATCAGGTAAAACTTGCCTAGTCACTCCAGTACCAGGTAAGACTTGCCTAGTCACTCCAGTACCACATAAGACTTGCCTGGTCATTCCTGTATCAGGTAAAACTTGCCTAGTCACTCCAGTACCAGGTAAGACTTGCCTAGTCACTCCAGTACCACATAAGACTTGCCTGGTCATTCCTGTATCAGGTAAAACACGCCTAGTCACTCCAGTACAGGAATACCTTGTATACTATGATTTTGAACAGTAGGGGTTTTGATATAATACTGTTTATAAATTTAAAAATGTAAATTTTATTTATTGCATTTTACGGTGAACAAGATTATTTCCTCTGTTCTTCTTATGTCATCACTTATGGTTTCAAATTAGTAAGTTTATTGAGGTACAGATACACAAATGTATTGTATAGTACAGTATTATTTTGATGCACATTAAACATATTATGCAAGATATTGCTGTAGTTGGTGATAGGTGTAGTTATTTTTTTTTTTACACGTCAATTTTACAGGTTAAGAGCTGTTATTCTACCTTGGTTAATTTCAAAGACCAGCCATATCTAAGGTATACTACCGCCCCAGTATGTGACCCACAGCAGTCGACTAACACCCAGGTACCTACTTACTGTTAGGTGAACAGGGACAGCGTTTCCACCCATGCCAGGATTGAACCACGGACACTCACTGTGTGAGGTGAGTGTACTACCAAATGAGCCACGGAACACCTGCTTGGTAATTACCCATGAGAAAATCTCTTAACATGGGAGTTTGGGATTTTTCTCACTAGGTTTGAGTCTCTAGTCGAGAAGAACTTAATTAGTTTTCAGCTTCAGTAATTGGGATGGGAGTTTTATCATAATTTCTTTTGTTTTAATCATGTGTTTATTGTTCTTCAGATGAAGAGTCCTGGACTCCAAGCAATGATTGATGGAAGAACCAAGTCACTCTATCTCCACTCTCCTGCATCCATTGAAGAGAAACTCAGACCCAATCTTAAAAAGACTGTTGAAGGTGAGAGAGAGAGAGAGAGAGAGAGAGAGGATAAGACTTAAGAAGACTGTTGAAGTTGAGAGAAAGAGAGAGAGATACAGACTTAAAAAGTCTGTTAAACATGCAAGAGAGGGAGGTAGAGATTACAGGTGTCCTTGATTTTTGTGGTAGATGTATTCTAAGCCCTTGCTTGCTCTAGCAGTTTCAGTCGAGTTGTCAACCCTCAATTTTTCATTATGGGAATCCTCACTACATTTTATGAGCCAGATTGATCACATAAGAGCAAATCTGCATTACAAATCTTTAATTACTTAGGAAAAAATCTGCATTATACATCCTAAATTACTTATCAGCAAATCTGCATTACACATCCTAAATTACTTAGGAGCAAATCTGCATTACACATCCTAAATTACTTAGGAGCAAATCTGCATTACACATTCTAAATTACTTAGGAGTAAATCTGCAAATTAAAAAATTCCTAAATTAAAAAAAATCACATAATGTACCCAAATAATGAGGAATCACTCTATGTATACTGCTTAAATGTGAATTTGTATACCATACCCAAATACCACAAGGGATTACTGTATACTGCATGAATGCAAACTTGTGTATAGCATACCCAGCGTATATATAACGTATTCAGATAATGAGAGGGCTTAGTGTATACTTAAGAACTACAAATTTGTGTACATTAGGGCCTCCACTTATACAGGAGGTTAGGTTCTGGGCTGCTGCTGTAAGGTGAAAATAGTTGCACAGTGAAACATAGCCTTTTTTTACTTTCAAATGTCAAAATCCTGACCACATGTTTACACTATGATATATTAAGTGAGCAATAGAGCTTGGCCTAAAAAAAATGCATATACATTACACATATTGCTTAAAATACTTTCATCCTTAGTGGTGAATATATTTATTGTGGGAAGTCTGAATAAATGAAAAATGGGTATACGTAATTGAAAACTGCTGCGTTAGCAAAATGCCGTAAAGCAAAGCACCGTAAAGCGGGGCCATCCTATATAGAATACCCAGATACCACAAAGGATTACTGTATAATGCATGAATGCAAATTTGTGTGTAACATTCTCAAATACAATGAGATATTACAATGTAAATGGTTTAGAAAACTGCCAAATTGTGGAAACATTTTGCCAACAAGTGGCTTCTTCAGTCCAGTACAGAGATGAATGATGGAAGAACGAGGAGTTCGAGATAATAAGTCCCTAAGTCTCGCATTCCTTCCACCATTCATCACTGTACTGGACTAAGGAAGCCACTTGTTGGCAAAATGTTTCCACAATAAAGATTACCAAATGTTTCAAAAGTATCTAATTCTTCAGCATGAGGGATTATGTTGAGGACTTTTATTTTTATTAACACATCGGCCGTCTCCCACCAAGGCAGGGAGACCCGAAAAAGAAGAAACACTTTCATCATCATCATTCACTTTATCAATGTCTTGCCAGAGGCATGCCTAAATTACATTTCAAAAACTGCAACATATCAGCACCCCTCCTTCAGGGCAGAGAGATGGTACTTCCCACCTCCAGGACTCAAGTCTGGCTAACTGGTTTCCCTGAATCCCTTCATAAATGTTACATTGCTCATGCTCCAACAGCACATCAAATCATAAAAGCCATTTGCCTCCACTAGCGTCTATCTAACATGCTCGTTCACACTTGCTGGAAGTCCAAGCCCCTCACACACAAAACCAACCTTTCCCCCCTCCCTCCAACCTTTCCCCCCTCCCTCCAACCTTTCCCCCCTCCCTCCAACCTTTCCCCCTCCCTCCAACCTTTCCCCTCTCCCTCCAACCTTTCATAGGATGACCTCTACCCCACCTTAATCCCACTATAGATTTATATGTCCTCCAAGTCATTCTGTTTTGTTCCACCCTCTCTAAATGTCCGAACCACCTCAGCAACCCCTCCTCAGCCCTCTAGATAATATTTTTAGTAACCCTTCTAATCTCCAAGATACAGACTCTCTGCATAATATTCACATTGCCCTCAGACATGATATCTGCACTACCACCAGCCTTCTCCTTGTTACAACATTCGCCACCCATGTTTCACACTCAAATAAGAGCGTTGGTTCCACTATACTCTCATACATTCCCCTTTGCTTCCATGGATAATGTTCTTTGTCTCCACTCACTTTTTTCCTCCTCATCAATTCATAGACCCATCTGTTGACAAGTCCACTCCCAATTAATAGTCACAGGTGGATGAAACATCTCAATAAAATGTCATAAACAGCATATTCTATCATATTAACATACTTTTTTGGTGTATAATGCCTATGATATACTGTACATTAGAAATAAGACTAGGTAAAGTAAAAGGACACAAGTGCAACTAATGTGACATTTTATTGTGGCAACGTTTCGCTCTCCAGGAGCTTTGTCAAGCCGATACAAACAATACATGGACACAGAGGGTATATATAGGCTCAGAGTGAGGTGCAATACTAGTGGTAGTAGTAGTAGTAGTGACAAAAGTTGTAGTAGTAGTAGTAATACAATATGGTAGAGCAATTAATTTGTACATGAGTAAAAGGATATAAAAGCTATTATTTGGGTAACATAAAAATAGGATGGACAAGTATAAACTGGATAAAGGCAGCCTGTTTCAGTGTTCACTCTCTGTAATGTGCATTGTGTAGTATAACAGGAGAGACTATGTTATGGCACGGTTTACTGTTTTCAGGAGGATTCTTGCTAAGACTTCAGAGATGGTGAAGCTGCCATTTTGTTTTGTTTAACTGTATTCAAAACAGCGATCAGTGCTGATTCGAGGCACTTGCGTCTGCGGAAATTAGTTTCTTTGATCACTAATTGGGAGTCCCTGAATTTCATGAGATGATTGGTGGAATTTCGGTGTTGTACACAGGCGTTGTTCAAGTTATCGTTCCTACATGCGTAAATGTGTTCATTGAGGCGGGTGTCAAGGTTTCTTGCTGTTTCACCTACGTAAATCTTGTCACAGCCTCCACAGGGTATAGTGTAAACTCCTGCGTTGACTGGTTCATGGTGCTTTGATTTTGTCCTGTTTAGATCCTTTATTGAAGTGCTAGAAGCGATGGCGACTCTGGTGTTAGCTTGTGAAAGTACTTTAGAAACGTTCAGTGCAACCTGGCTGTTGGGAAGAATTATAACTTTGTTGGGAGTGGTGTTGATGCGTGGAGAATTAATGATCTGAAGAGCTCTTTTCTTGCAGTCTTTGATGAAAAAGGAAGGAAAATGTAACTCAGTGAATGTTTGGTGAATGTATGTACATTCCTCGTCAAGAAACTCAGGACTACAAATTCGGTATGCTCTTAGGAATAACCTGATGATGATGCCTCTTTTGGTCTTGGTATCTTGACTGGAATAGAAGTGTGCGAGATCATTTTTATTAGTAGGTTTCTGATAAACTTGAAATCTTAGGTTGTTGTCTACTTTGTGAATGAGGACGTCGAGGAAAGGTAGCTTGTCATTCGACTCTTCTTCTAGTGTAAACTGGATCACCGATTCAACTGCGTTGAGCCTTTCCTGAAGATTCCGTACATCAAAACGTTTGGGAGTTATTACAAGGACGTCGTCCACGTAACGTAACCAAGTGACGCTTGAAGGGATGATGTTGGCGAAGTGTTTAGACTCTAGGTGTTCCATGTATAAGTTGGCTAGGACGGCACTGATGGGGGACCCCATTCCCATGCCGTAGGTTTGTTTGTAGAGCTTGTTATTGAAAGAAAAACAGTTGAAATTAACACAGAGTTCAATCAAGTCAACAAAATCTCCGGGAGGTAGAGGAAGATTAAGGTCCTGGTTGACTTTACGTTGTAGAACCTCGATGGCTTTTGTGGTAGGTACTTTTGTGAAGAGGGAAGTCACGTCCAAACTTCTTAGTTTCTTGTTACGGATGGAGAGGTTTCGGATGCGGTTGAGAAGGTCGCCTGAGTGTTTAAGATGAGCGGGGCTGATGGTCCCCAGAAGGCAGGAAAGGTGTTTGGCAAGAACTCCGGCTAGTTTGTGTGGAGCACTGTCTATTCCTGACGTGATTGGTCTGAGAGGAATATTGTGTTTATGGGTCTTGGGTAAACCATACATGAGTGCTGGTTTAGGGTTGCTTGGTAACAAGTGCAGAAGTTTCTTCCCTTCTCTAGTGCGTTTGAGTATTTGTCTGGTTTTGTATAGAAAATCTTTGGTGAGCGTCTCCCACTGTTGAGTGCTGATGGGTTCGTATGTAGATTGATCATTCAAAAGGTCCATCATTTGATTGAACTCTGTGTTAATTTCAACTGCTTTTCTTTCAATAACAAGCTCTACAAACAAACCTACGGGATGGGAATGGGGTCCCCCATCAGTGCCGTCCTAGCCAACTTATACATGGAACACCTAGAGTCTGAACACTTCGCCAACATCATCCCTTTTAGCGTCACTTGGTTACGTTATGTGGACGACGTCCTCATAATAACTCCCAAACGTTTTGATGTACGGAATTTCAGGCAAGGCTCAACGCAGTTGAACCGGTGATCCAGTTTACACTAGAAGAAGAGTCCAATGACAAGCTACCTTTCCTCGACGTCCTCATTCACAAAGTAGACAAGAACATAAGATTTCAAGTTTATCGGAAACCTACTAATAAAAATGATCTCACACACTTCTATTCCAGTCAAGATACCAAGACCAAAAGAGGCATCTTCATCGGGTTTTTCCTAAGAGCATACCGAATTTGTAGTCCTGAGTTTCTTGACGTGGAATGTACATACATTCACCAAACATTCACTGAGTTACATTTTCCTTCCTTTTTCATCAAAGACTGCAAGAAAAGAGCTCTTCAGATCATTAATTCTCCATGCACCAACACCACTCCCAACAAAGTTATAATTCTTCCCAACAGCCAGGTTGCACTGAACGTTTCTAAAGTACAGTGGACCCCTGCATAACGATTACCTCTGAATGTGACCAATTATGTAAGTGTATTTATGTAAGTGCGTTTGTACGTGTATGTTTGGGGGTCTGAAATGGACTA